CACAAAGGATGGTTAATTACTTCTTTATTGTTCAGTCTGAAAAATAATTTCAAACATGTACTGTATATATGTCCTGACTATTTTATGTACATCCTGTAAAAACTCAGAAGGATTGGTCAGCCAATCTACAAAATCCTGCAAGCTCTTCTAATCTCCCTCACACTCATTACAGTTACTAATTGGAAGACAGAATCAAGGTCTGCTTTGTTGATATCTCAATGAGTCTATGACAAGTGACGAAGTTATAGATTGCTGTAAACAACAATGAAAAAATTTTTGAGAAAATAATTATGAGGGTGGAGCTTACATCTTCTCTATCACAGCTTTATGTATCTATTCCATCAGGGCAAGAAAACAATTACAAATAAAGGCAAACTGATGATTGAGTTGGGCTAGAGTGGGGTTGGATAGAGAAGGAATCAGCAATTAGAATAAATCCTCCAGTCGAATGATTGCCCCAGGAAAGTAAAAGCCCAAAGAATATTATGAAAGAACATCCTTAAATATTAGATATTCCTAGGAATTGTAGAAGACTGGAGATAGCATTCTACTCCTGGGTCTTCTAAAGAAAAGCCGAACGCTGCGGACTCCTCATGAACATGTCCTAGGAGAGAAATGGACAATAATGACACTAAAGGAAGATTTGGGGGCAGTCCACTATTTTTTTATTTATATTTATTTACTCAACACTAATTTTGTTGAGTTGCTATGTGTTAAACACAGTTTGAGGCATCACAATACAAACAAAGAAAATCCCTATTCGCCCTCCTTGCTATCTATGAGGAGAGATGGAAAATTTAGAAAGCTATGCAGGTGCTATGAGTACTGATTAGAGCAAGTATAAAGAGCTAGCACACAATACAGATATCAAAACCTGCACAGCATGCTCAGGGAAGCTTAGCAGAGAAAACGACTTCTATGCTGAGTTCATGGAAGCTGAACATTATGAATTGAAGAGCACAAAGAAGTTGAATGTGGCTGAGAGACAGAATGCAGGAAAGGTAGAGCAGAGTGTGGAGAGAGAATGCTGGAACCCAAAGCAGACAGCAGGTCATGGAAGCTCCATGACACATTAGAAATGTCAGACTTTCCGGCCGTGCGCGGTGGCTCACGCCTGTAATCCCAGCACTTTCGGAGGCAGAGGCTGGCGGATCACAAGGTCAGGAGATCGAGATCATCCTGACTAACACAGTGAAACCCCGTCTCTACTAAAAATATAAAAAATCAGCGGGGCGTCGTGGCCGGGGCCTGCAATCTCAACTACTCCGGAGGCTGACGCAAGAGAACAGAGTGAACACGGGAGGCGGAGCTTACAGTGCGCCGAGAGTGCGCCACGGCACTCCAGCCTGGGCCACAGAGCGAGACTCTGACTCAAAAAAAAAAAAAAAAGGAAAAAAAAAATGTCATACTTTCCTTGGAAAGCACTGAGAATTCTTTAAAAGTTTCAAGCAAGCGAATGAATGGCAAGATCCGATCTGCATTTACAAAGTTCAGAGATTGAAACACCGAAAAATGGCAAGCTAAGTGGCTGTTGCAGTTCTACAGGTGAAAAGTAATGGTAGCCCAGACTGGAGAAGGATTTGGGGAAGGAGAGAAGTAGAAAGACTCAAGAGCGATTTCTTAAGGAGAGAAAATTGAGCTGATAGGTGATTAATGTGGGAAATAAGGTACAAGGATGAGTCGAGGATGACTCCATGTTTCAGTTTTAGACCAGCATTCGCCTCAGTGGGATTCTGAGCACCCAGAGAGAAACAGGTCCACAGAAAAAAAATCATAAATCCCATTTTGGCAAGTTGAGTTTTAAAGCAGCCACACTAAAAAGCTCAAAATAAACAAGTTAATTTTAGTAATATATTTAGCCCAATCTATCCCAAATATTATTTCAACATGATCAATATAAAGAAATTATTGAGATATTTTACATTCTTTTTTTCATATTAAGTCTTGGCTAAATGGTGGGTAATTCACTCTTATGGCACATCACAATTTGGACTAGGGAGATCTAAAAAAAGCACACAAAATCCTATTGATAATATTGTCCTTGTTTCGTGTAATTATTTCTATACAGAAAAAAAATTTTGTTTACCTAAAGTTTGGGATAGATAAATCCAAGAACTATGTGGGACATTTTATAATTATGGGACCCTGGAGAAAAACTGTCACTGGCATGTATGTCTGAGATGAGGTCCTGACTTACACTGGCAGAACTAACACCACCCCTGTCTCACCAGGAACACTGAGGTTCATAGGGGGAAGTCGGAAGAAACAGAAGCTGGGAAAGGAACGCTATCCAGAATACCTGTGGGTTCTACAGAAAGCATGTTTTTAGAGCTGATGAGAGGGAAAACAATATAAGCAGCACTCATACAGATCAAGCATGCTGTCATTTTAACAAAAGATAAACTAGACTCTGCCTTGTAGAGACTGGCAGTTTTTTCTTCACCCAAATATTAAATAGTGTGGCCAACTTCAAATATTTAAGTACTTCTGTCAGCCCGGCTGTTGGCTTTGAGTCATAGGAACCAATAAAGCAGGAAGTGCCACAAAGGTAAGCACCGTCAGATTTAAGGCAGTGAGGGACAGGAATAGAAGTTTGCCAATGTCAAACAAATAACTTGTAGTGAAAATGGGCCAGAGAGGGGGCCTACCAAGGAAGAACTCACACTCCAAGAGCCTGGTTCTTAGCAAAGCGGGAAGAGGATGTCTTGTTTATGCAGCTATGTAAAGCCTCACTCCCTGCCCTCTCGGGACCTCTCACTGAGGGAGGGAGGTAAGGGTTGAAAGTGAAGACAGCAGGGTGCTTATGCCATATTAGATCTCCATCAACATGCGACCCCAAAAGATCATGACTGTGGGAGCTTTGTAAATCAACCCGGGGTGCTTGCCCCGGGGCAAATAGCACAACAAATTAATCCTTTCTCCATGAAATGCAGCAAAGTTTGTATCTATGCTGAATTCAAATTGCTCATTAGCTCTGACATGTTCCTAATGAGGTTATAATGCTTTGGGACAAAGATCAAGTCACTGAACACAAATAGCTAGGGATAGAATCGTAGAAAGATAAAATTAGAAGGACCTTAGAGGAGTGTCTCTCAGACTTTAATACGGATCACCTGGGCATTGTAATTCAGGACATCTGGGGCCCAGTCTGAGATTCTGTATTTCTAACAAAATCCCTGGTGCTGCTGCTCCTGCTGGTCCATGGACAACACTTTGAGCAGCAAGGCCTTAGAGATCATTTAATCCAGTTGCCTCTCCTAGAGGTGAGAGCATCAGGGCCAAGAGACGTATAACTGGAAGCATGCTGAGACTTCCAGGTGGCTAATTAAGGTCAGTTGGGTATTTGTCCATAGACCTGTGAGTCAACCTGAAAATTTTAAATAGAATCTAAGGAGTAGAGTGACCAATCAGGCTAGCTGACTGAGGAAGTTTCCGGAACATGGAATTTTCCTTTTTAAAAGAAGAAAAAATCCAGGAAAACCAGGATACGTTTTTCACCCTACTAGACCCTTTTGAATCTACTTAGAATACAGCATCAGGATTATATTTTTCTTGACCTTGTCAGTCCCCAAGTGGTGGGATCATGACCTGCCACCAAGGCAAGCACCTGAATATCCTGTCCCAAAGATCTCAAAGAGCAAATGCTCAAACAAGTTTGAGGCTCTACAGAGCCTTCTAACATCACAGTGACAAGTGCCTCTCTAAGAGACAGCCTACCAGTAGATCTCAAAGTAAAGCATAATAAAGGACTATCAAGAACACACAGAAATAAACATTATATAAGCACATAATGTTCCGTTTAAGTACACTAATCTGTTTTCCTCATTTGATAAAATGCATGTAAGAAATAAATCACTAATTTTTATAACTCTCAAAACACTCATTTAAAACATCCTTGATAAAAACACTAAAATAATAAAAATTAGGCTGCATCCCTGAGAATGAAGAAAAAGTTATGCTCTGCACAATCAAAATGATTAGAAATAAAAATATATCCCCACATATTATTATTTTACTCACTGGAACTGGGCTCATTAACGTTAGGTAGAATAATGAATGTCCAGAAAGCAAAAATGAAAAATTTCCAGACTATTCAATGCTAGCAGTGCTTTGCTAAGGCTTCCCAAACAGAATGCCAAAGTACTGATTCCATATGCATTCAAAATACAGAGTTAGTGCAATCCTAACCACAATGATTCTCACTCCCTGGAGTTTACTTGTTCAAGTAAGAGGCCAATGTGGTCTGACTGAATTACTTGACTTAATATTCATGGAGTTAGGACACTTAAGACAAAGGAAGAAAGTAAGTGTGGCTAAATATATACAATGCATTTGGAATAAGTAAAAGACAGAACCCTAGACACTCAGCAATCGTTACCTGGAAATTAAAGAGGGCAGGAGCAATCCTATTATGCATTATAAACAGCCCCGCTGCTGACTTAATGGTAGTTTGAGTAGCATAACCAAGGAGTCCTTGCTCCAATATTAATAGGAAATGTATTGTAGGAATCCAATAGTTCATGAAATTAACAAGGAAAATGAACTGGAGTGAAGCAACTTTGCAAGTAATAGGAGGCATCAGCAATTGCTTCCCTGGAGCATATTGAACACTTAAAAAGAGCTTGGGAAGAGCACATGTATATAAATGAGAATGGACATTATTAGAATTTTTTAATAATACTCTTAATTTAAATATATTTCAAACTCTCTGTTGGTTGTAAGTCTTTTAAAGAAGAAGTTATTAGCCCAAAATGTCAATAAGAGGTCACAGGCTATGAGATCTGGTCCAAAGATATTTGCAAATTAGCTGCCATTTGAGTCAGCTTAAAACTACCATACACTCACCATTAGGCAGCTATCAAAATTATTCCCATTTCACTTCTGTAGAGCTAAATACTTCAAATAATCTAGAAAACAATTTCCCTTCTATAAGCCTCAACAGCCAGAGTAACAGATGCATGCTCATCAGCAAGCTAAAAAGTATAGTTAATTCCACTTACAAACCAATCGACATACGATGAAAAAGAACACCTCCTCCACAGGCACTGCCATGGACAACCCGACCAAAGCTTGCATTGACCAAACAAGAAGCTGAAAGGGTTTCCATAGAAGCAAGAATGTGACTTCTGTTTTTCCCAGACAGAGATCCATCCAAGTCTTCCAAAATTGCTGCATGAGGAAATGGAAATGCCACTAAGTTTGAAGAGTTTATAAACTTCAACTGGCTGGTCTTCACAGTAAATCCACCTACAAATTTGAAGACAGAAAGATTATTACACAATGGCACAAATAGCAACTAAATTCACTGGAGTAATGGTCTTAGGATTTAAATTGCATATTTATCCAGTTTTACAATTCACCTATTCATGCAAGAAAAAAAGTGTTTTCTGGAGTTGTTTTACAGTGAGTGTTTACTGTCTTCCAACCTCTGGTATGTGCTAGAGATACTAAGAGGTATAAGTGCAGCATTGGCCCTACCTTCATGCAGTCTGTAGTCCACACTGTAGAACAGTGATTTTTCTATCAGGGTTGATTTTACCTTCCAAGAGACATATGACACTATTTTCAATCATTTTTGGCTGTCACAACTGGGGAGTTGGCAGTGCTACTGGCAGCTAGTAGGTAGAAACCAGAGATGCTGCTAAATATCCTACAATGCACAGGAAAGTCCCCACAACAAAGGATTATCTCACCCAAAATGCCAATAGTGCCAAGGGTAAGAAACTCTGGTCTAGTGGGAAATAGAAACAGAAAACATTAATTTATTAATTACTTAGCACTAAAGATGCTATGGATTAGTCTTCCAATCTTTCAGCTTTCATTCCTCTATGGTGAGTCTAAGCCCTCCAATACCTCTTACTATGAGGTTTATACTTTAAACATTTACTTTCAAAAGCAAACTCAATTAATCACTTGGGCAAATAGTATTAGTAATACACTTTCTAAGTATTAGCTGCAGGGCCATACTTCTTGGCAGTCTTTCTCCAACACCACTGCCATGTGACTCATTGGTACTATCGGTCCAATTGCCTAGAAGGAAAGTATGGCAGTGATCTTCTAATTCACACACCCATGTCATTAAAAGAAGAAAACTGAGTACACATCTCCCAGTACATATACTACCATACCGTAATGTATTATGTACATTATAAAATATACAAAAAAGAAAATAAAATGAAAAATATACAAATTGAGGCTCTGATGTTTTCACTCTGCAGCCCAATAGAGTACATGCAGTGAATTAATTCATGCATGAAAGGCTACACAATTGCACCTCTTGCAACTTCTGTATTTCATTTAATACCACAAACCACCTGCAGCTCTACATTTCAGTCATGTTGGACTTCTTTGTGATTTCCGAAGCACAACTGGCTTTTTGGATTCTATTTTTTTGTGTGTGTGTATACTGTTCCTAGAAATTCTTCCTTGCATATACCTTCTTGCAAACTTCTCTTCACCTTCCTAAACCCTACTCAAGAATAACCTCTATGAGCTCTTGCCTGATTCCCTTCCTCAGCCCCTTCACTGACTTCGTTGGGTGCTCTATTACTGCGTTCATCATGCTTTCTTATGACGATGGGCTTGGACATTTATTTTAGTGCCTAGATCAAGAGTTCCTGGAGGACAGAAATTATATGTTTTTATATTTGCACCCCCTAGGTCCTTAAGCAGAGCCTGAAATAGACAGTATTTAAGCAAATGAAGAGAGGAGTTAGCCAATATTATTCAGTGAAAAGGGATTAGAGTTCATAGGAGTAGTGTGATTTTTTTTTCACTGTCTCATGAATGATATGAAATAGTCAAGATATTAAAGAATTGAGGAATTGTGACTGCAAGCACTTGTTATGAGGCATTTTTATTTCTATTATTATTTCTACAATCCTAAACTCAGATGCCACCTAAATAAAAACAATCTTTCATTCTGCCTACATAGGAAAAAAAAAGTGGAGACTTGTTGATTATTCATTTAATTAAAAAAACAAACAATTATCTAAATTGGTGATTCAAACCACAAGAGCATATTTAGTTGAATTACTTGGTTTGGCTGTTTACAATGATCAAATCAACTAGATTACTCTCTACCTCTTTCACCTTGGCCCATGAGTCCTCCAAGTTATTTCTTACCACCTCTGAGATACGGTTAAAAAGTGGGCAAGAACTCCTATGGTTCCTTTGTGCATACATCAAGTCCTGGACTGTTGAAAACATTAAGCACCTGAACTTTGGCTCTTTTGAGGAAAGGTTGTATGCATGTTAGTTTACACCCAGTTATCTACCCATCTAACTCTATTCATTCATTTAATCAATACACTGCCTGTCTACTAGGCATCTGGCTCTGTGCTAGGTACTAACAATTAAAACTCTGAGCAAGAAAGACATGATCTCTGCCTTTATGAAGGTCAGAGTGCAGCAGAGACATAGGACCATCATGATAGAATGTGATAGGCACCGTAATAGGAGGAGGACAGGGAGCTGCAGAAGCTGCACTGAGAGAACCTCCAGGATATCTTTTAGGAAATTTAAGCAACAGTTTCTACTGATGCAATCTTATAACTGAAAGAGATAATGATTCACAAAGTATTTGCCACTATTTATAATACTGACTTGAATATTGGCCTTATTTATCATCTGTTCTGTCTATTCAAATAATTACCTTGTCCTTGGAAACAGTCTGAACAGGTTCTAATGGCCACACAGTTGATGAGATCAAAATTAACAAAGGTTGTGTTAGACACCATCAGTTCCCATCTTTTAGGAGTTTTAATCCCAGATGACATACACAGACTTCCCTGTGATTTAAAAGAAAAAAAGATGAAAGCAAAATAAGAAAACTGGACACATGAAATACAATTCATAATGCATGAATAAAAACAAAGATAAAAAAGCGAGCTATCGACTAAGAGAAAATATTTGCCAATCACACATATGACAAAGGACCTATATCCAGAATAAAGAAAGAATTCTCAGATTTCAACAGTAAGAAAACACACAATGCAATTCAAAATTAGGGAAAAAAAACCTTCAAAAGATAACTCAGAAAAGAAAATATACAGATAGTAAATAAGCACAGGAAAAAAAATATTCAACATCATTATTCACTAGGGAAATACAAATTAAGATCACACTGAAATATACTATGCACCTATTAGAATGGATAAATTAAAATACAGTGACAATAGTAAGTGCTGATGAGGATGAGAAAGAATTAAAACTCTCCTATGTTTCTAGTGGAATGCAAAATAAGGCAGCCACTCAAAGTTTGGCAGTTTCTTATAAAGTTAAATATGCCCTTATATGACCTAGCAATTCAACTCCTAGGTATTTACCTTAGAGAAATGAAAACTTACATTTATATAAAAACCTGACACAAATGTCCTTAACAGTTCCATTTATAATCACCAAATCTGGATACAAGCCAAATGCACCTCAATAAATGAATGGCTAAACAAACTGCATTACATCTATCTAATGGAATACTATTCGTCGATAATAAGGAATGTAATATTGATACATGCAACAAGTTGGATGAATCCCGATGGCATTCAGGAGTGAAGGAAGCCAGTCTCAAAAGGTTACATACTCTATGACTCCATTTATATGACTGTTGAAAAGGCAAAACTATAGTGACAGAGAATACATTAGTGATGGCCAGTGGTTTAAAGTAAGAGGAGGCTGTGGCTACAAAGATGGAGCAAGGAACTGGAATGGATG